CCTCACAGCCATCAGCACCTTGGGTAGCCAGGTAGGGCAGAAGACAGAGTGATAGACTTGTACTCAAGAAGATTTGAATTCAAATCTTGCCTCAGACACTTATTAGCTGTGTGACCCTGAGCAAGTCACTTAACTTGGCTCTACCTCAGTTTCCTCATCTGTAAAATGAGGATAATAATGGCACCTATCTCTCAGGATCTTTGTAAGGATAAAAGGAGATACTATTTGCAAAATGCAGTGCAAATCTTAAATTGCTATATAAATATTAATCATCATCATCATCGTCACTGAAGGGGCAAGCCATCCCCACCACCTGCTACGCACAGGGCAGGCAGACCAGCCTGCCTTCAGCAGCCAGGAACCCCGAGGGAGACTGACCAGCTCCTGAAAACCCAGAAAAAGAAGGTCTGGCCACCAAAGGCCTTAGCCCTGTCAAATGGTTCAGCGTTAGAACCAGAGGATTTTATCTGTGGGAATGACCTGAAAGAAGTAGCCTGACTGCCTGCTTTGCTGCTGGACCCTAAGGACCCAAGGACCTTTCTGCTTAAACCTTCCCTGGGTGCTGGCCTTTGTTACTTTTCTTTCTGTACCTCCAGCATTTAGCATAGCGCTTGGCAAACAGTAAGCACGTATGCAGCTGGGCGGTATGGTAGATAGAGCGCCAGGCCTGGAGTCAGGAGGACCTGCATTGAAATCCAACCCCAGACACTTCTGAGTCGTGTGACCCTGGGCGAGTCACTTTACCCTGTTTGCCTCAGCTTCCTCATCTGTAAAATGAGCCTGGAGAAGGAAATGGCAAACCACTCCAGTGTCTTTGCCAAGAAAACCCCCAATGAGGTCACAAAGAGTCAAACACAACTGAACAACAAAAACCTTTCCTAACGCTTCTTTCATTCATTCGCTCATTCCCAGCTCTGGCATTCTGTATTCTTAGGGCCCTCCTACATACCCTGTTCTGGAGGTATAAGTGGAAAGAGCACTGGACCTGGAATTAGGGACACTCCACCTGTGCCACTGACTTGTTGTGTGATTATGGGAGAGACCTAGAATCTCTCCACATCCCATTTCCTCATCTATCCAGTACTACAGGGAACTTCCCTGTAGGAAGAGGCACTGCTTCCTCTTCCATCCCATGTGGCCTGGAAGCTGCAGGTTCCCCACCCCTGCCTTAGACCAAGGAGGAGCCCGGTCAGGGCTGTGTTTGTCATTCCAGGTCAACCTTGCTAAGCTGTGAGAGGCTCCCCTTCAGGCTGGTTGCAGGGAGTGAATTGTTTGGTCACAGCAACCGGCCCAGAGCATCTGCCAAGTTTTTTGAGGGGTTGTGATCTGTGCACAGCAAGAGAGCACCCATAGGTGCACAAGTAAGACCCCTTGAGGTATTCTGGAAGTGCTTAAGGTCCTTCTGGCGCTAACCTTCTAGAGTTCTATGAGGAAGATTGGGGGGGAACTGAGTCTGGTGGCTTTGCTAACTGTCTTCAGGTAGCTAAAGGGCTGTTATATGGAAGAGGGAGAAAATTTCTGGGTGACTCCATAGGGCAGAGACAAGGAGGGAAGCCACATGGGCAGGTTTGGGTTCCATATAAAAAAAAGACTGTCTCATAGCGAATGGCATCCACCTATGGCCATGGACTGCCTCAAGGGGAAGACAAGAGGCTGGCTGGGAAAGCAGCAGCCCTTCCTTCCCCCCCCTCCCCCTTAAAGGCTGGTCCAGTCCAAGAGACATTGACTAAGCGCCTGCTGCATGCAGGGCTGACCCCAATGGGGAAGGCCTTCCCTGGCCCACTGGAGCTAGCTGGCCCGAGCCGTGCACGTATTCCTCGCCCTTCCAGTACTGTAACGCTTATTAAATCAAGGCTGCCATTGCTCCTGGGAAGGGCGTGTCAGCCTACTACCAGCCCTGTCCCCACCCCCCACAGCTCCCTTAACCATCCGGTGACTTTCCAGCTCTCTGAGCCCTTAGTTTTAAGGGCTCCGCACATAGTACGCATTGGACCCATGCTTTTCCATTCCTTTGTTCATGCATAAGATATGGGCCTTGCTCTCAGAGAGCTCACAATCAAGTCGAGGGATCTCCAAAGCCAAAGACGTCCATCTCCAAAGCCCCCACGCCTGGTATCACCCACTAGAGCGCAGTAAGTGCCTAAGAGATGGACAACTAAAGGCCTATGGAAGATATGACACAGGAAAGAGGATTCCCAACTTGCTGGATGAAGTGGTATCTGGGCTGAGTCTTGCAGGAGAGGATTTTACCAGGTAATGTGATGAGGGATTATGGCTTGAAGGTGTCACATACAAAGGGCAGAAAGGCTCTCAGAAACCACCCTACCTCTTAGCCAGTAAGTTCTGCTCAGATCTATTAGCAGCATCCCCAAAGCTTCCCAACTCAATGTCCCCATGGCTCCAGGGCTGTCTGTCCTGGGACGAAGGATCAGAGGCTGAGGCACTGGTCTGCCAACGTGGCTAATTGCACCGAACGATCAATGAAAAGCATCTATTCAGCACTTACTAGGTGCCACGCACCATGCTCTACGTACACAAAAGGGACCAGTAGTTTCCAATGAACATCCTAAGCAAGGGTTGAATGAACTCGAGGGTCGGCCTGGGCTCTGATCACTACAGGAATTCAGACCCAGCTGGCCTTCAAAGACCAGAGAGAAATTTCTGACAATCACACAACCATTTGGTATGCCATTCCCTCCTCCTTCTCAATAGGCACTCAGAGACCTAGGGACCTGAAAACCCCCGTGAGTCCAAGAGCCAGTACAATGGATTCTCACAGTGGCCCAGGATACCTCTTGAAGCCAGGGTAGCCCAAAAAACTTTCCTTCCATCCCCAACAATGGCCTACATGGAATTCAAGAGACAGTCCTTGGGGTCACGCAATCATTGACTAGAGACTTTGTATAAAATTCACCATTTCAAGTTCATTTGAATAACCTTTTCCCTCCTTCCCCGTGGGCTCAGCAAAACCTGGAAAATCTTATTCAACAGACATTTATTAAAAGTGCCTATTAGGCATAAAGCATTGCATATACAAAGATGGGGATGGTAGCATGACACAAGGTCATAAGACTTATGTCTAGTCTTCAAGGGTGGGGTGGGAGGATGGGGCATGAGACAGGGCTGCTGCATAGACATAGATGGAAACACTACCAGATAAGTTGTGACTGGGGACAGAGGAAAGAATAAGAGATAGTGCTTGGGGGAAATCCCAAAGGTAGAGAAGATTTTGAGTTTGGGATCGGGGCAAGGCTGCTCGGCAAAGGTGACCCTTGAGCTGAGACCTGAAAGAAGTGAATGTAGAAGTGAGGAGGTAGCACAGCCCAGTCCTGGAGGGCAGCAGGAAAAAGGAAGAGCTATAGGACGATGGCTAAGTCAAGAGAAGTGTGGGCGGGGGGGGGGCGGTTAAGGATATCTTAGGCCAACAGAAGAACCATGTCAGATCAGAACCATGTGAGATCCCCATTCTGAGACTGGAGCAACAGAGGAGAGCAAGACTTGAAGATGCCAAGAGGTTCTGGGGTCTGCAGGAGGTGAGATGAGAGCCTCAGCGCTCTTGATCCAGTAGAAGGTGAGGTCACTGCTGAGAAAGAGTGGAGTGGAGGCGCCTGTGCTGGAGCAGAGCAAAAGGGACTGGAGGTCTGGAGCAGCTGCTGTGGGGAGCCTGATAAGGAATCAATCAGAGAGTAACGAAAGCATAGCCACATATCAGGGAGGGTCCAACCTAGGGTAGATGACGTTCACTTAGAGTGGGCCCTGCCTGTAGCTCCACGGCCTCCTCCACCAGCATTCAGAAGCTCAGGAGATGGATGTGGGGGAAGGGGGGTGACCGGGAACAGCAGGCCAGATGAGGGGAAATGGATTCAAGGATGGAGGATAGGACCTCGTATCAGGCCTAATTCTGGCTCTGCTCAACTGTGTGACTTGGGATGAGTACCTTCCGTTCCTCAGGGTTTCATTTCCTCATCTGCACAATGCTGGAGTTGGACTGGCTGACCTCAAAGAGCCTGCTACGTGGACTTATCTGTGCTACTTCTGAGATGTCAATGAATAGTAGACTTCCAGGATCTCTGAGGTGGGAGGGAGCTCAGGGGCAGATGTCTCACCTGTCCCTGAATAGAAATCCCCGTATCTCCAAGAGGCCTGACAGGCAGCCAGCCAGCCACTGTGGGGAAGCTTCTAGGATGGGCAGGGAGCGCACTCCCCAGCAGGGCAGCCCCTTCCATTTGGGGATGGCTCTAAGTGCCCACAAGCCCTTCCTTTTGGTGAGCTGAAACGTGCCTTCCTGCTACTTCCGCCCATTCCTCCTGGGAAGACTGACCGTGAGGAGCTGGCTGGGATGCTCTCACATGAGATTCCAGAGCTCTCTGTGTCTTGGGAGGAGACGATGGATGAAAACGCTAGACTGGAATGTGGGGGCTGGTTTCCTGCAGGGGTCGGGTGGCAAAGCATAGCATGCCACGGGATGAGAGTGCCCCAAGACAGCTGCTCCTGCTCGTGCAGCTGAAGGAGAGCTCCCTCCATGGCGTGGGTGTGGGCGTGGGCGTGGGTGTGCGTGGGGGGTGGCATTACACAGCAAGAACCAGATTCCTTGTTACAATTATCTGCATGTATCACATGAGAGCTCCAGTCCAAGAGCTGTAGGTGTGCATGGGGGCTGGGGGGGGTGCGGGTGGGGGGCATGACAGCTTAGATAACAAAGCCTCCATCCTTGTGCATGAGAATAAGACTGGACTGCACACAGAGACAAAACCTAATCCTAGCAAGCAAGAAACTTCAGGCAATGGCAGGGCCACCCTCTCCATGGAGCTCCTGCTGCCCAAGAAGCACCCCACCCCCTTCAGCCCAGCCTCACTTTGGCCCACCCGCCCCCTCCCCTGAAGTCAGGCCGACAGCCAGAGTCCGCCAGAAGCCGGAGCTCGGATGGAGAGAAGATGGAGAGGAGAGAGAGCCCCCGAAAGAAGAGGGGAGGGAGGGAGGGAGGGGGAAGGGAGGAGTACCTGTTGCTGGCTGCATCCTGCTCTGCCTCTCAGTCCTCAGTTGCTTGTGGTGAGAGTTGCCCATCATTCTGTCCTGGACTGGCACCCTCCTCCTCCGCCACCGCCTCCCCTCAGCCTGCGCCCCTCCCCAGGTGCTTACATCACCTCAGCTCCTCTGCCTCTGCTGGTGGCGCCCATGCTGCCTCAGGAGCCCTCTTCTGTCCCTGGTGTGCACCATTGCCCAGCCCCGGCCTTTCCCGATGGATGGACTGCAGCCCGCCAGGAGCGCTCCTCCCCAGCTCGCTCGCGTGCTCTCCTCCCCCCTCCTAACCCTGCTCGCTCTCTCTCTCTCTCTCTCTCTCTCTCTCTCTCTCTCTCTCTCTCTCTCTCCCTCCCTCCCTCTCCTTTCCTCCCTCCTCCACCCATCTCAGGCCCCTCCTCTCCCACCATCCCCCCCTTCCCGTGCCCAGGGCTCCCCTGTGGGAAATGCAGGGCTGGCTCATCTCTCTCTCACCACACAGACCCCTAGTCTCCTTGCTGCCCCTGCGCCCTCCTTCCCCTCTCTACAGGGCAGTTCCCTGTGGCCCTGGTCACATTGAGCTCAACCCCTGTGCTTGGCTGGCATCCGCTGTTGCTGCCCTGAAGAAGCTGGCATCACCCCGGTGCCCCATTGACCAAGGTGGAGCGGCTGAGCACACAGGGATTGCCACATTGCCAGGGACCCAGCTCGCCCTTGGCTTCGGGGGGGGGTGTGTGTGGGGGAGACTAAGGTAATGTCTTGCTGTCAGCTGCCAGCCACTGTGGACACAGCCGGCCCTCACCTCTCTATTGCCGCGCCCCCTCCCCTTCCTGCTCTTCCCAGGGCCTGGGAGAGCTGGCTGGGCACACGCTGATGGCACCAAGCCCCTGGGAGAATTGCTTACTGCCAGTAGTGGCCCTGGAGAGGCAAGCCGGGGTTCAGACCCCCATCTCCGAGAACATGAGGCAGGGGGAGCAAGCACTGGGCTGTGGGGGAGGGGGCCGTCGGGATGCCAGTGGGCTGAAACATGGCCTCGGCTATCTCAGTCAGGCCACTACGAGCAGGTGACATCTGGCTGCCTGGCAGCCCGGCTGCCTGTGGCCTCAGGGTCTCTCTCAGTGAAGTCCGCTATCAGCCAGATGTGCTCAGAGCCACAACTCTATGGCTTTAGAAGGCTGCAGTAAAACGCTCCGGCCGCTAGGGCGCCATTCCTTGTTTTAACCAAACCACGAGATTGGGACTGCCCGCCCTCTGAGCTCTCCCCCAGCTCTCCCAGGGCAGCCGGGGGTTGAGAAAAAGAGAGCACAGAGCTGTCCCATTCTGTGGTATCCAAGTGTGTCACTTCCACTGGAGGCTGCGGCTGGTGCCAAGCACACAGCCCACAGCTGACTGCTCCCAGAAAGCCCAACCAAGCAGGCCCTACTCCTGAGCCACTGGGTTAGACCCTGGAAGGGGCAAGGGGCAGAGAATGGGGCATTGCTTAGTCCTCCTCCAAGATGCTGGGCAGGTCTCCTAACCCCCTGGGTACCAGTGCAGTGCCTGGGCGGGGCCATCCTGTCAGCCAGCCCAGACTTGCATCTCACACCAAGCCCAGGCCACCTCCTTTTCCAGCCATACACCCCTGGATGGAGCCATTACTGCCATTTCTCTGTGAACACAGTAGATGTGCAGGAAATGTCAATTGAGTGAATGAATGAATGAATGAATGAATGAATGAATGAATGAATGACTAAAATGCACTGTTTGATGCCAATTTTCCAAGTGAGGACAAGTGCAAGGCACAATGAGCTAATGTGTAGATGCAGCAACCCCTGAGAACATTAGGGTAGCAGACCAACTTGCAAGTCCACATGCCTGTTTATCTCCAAGAAGGAACCTCAGAGGTCACATAATCCAGCCCCTACCTGAGCTTTCCCAACATCCCTGATGGTATTTGGCCAGCCTCTACTTGGAGACCTCCAGCAAAGAGAAAAATTAGGGTTCCTATGTGGAGGCCACCATTTAGGAAGGCTATTGACAAGCTACAAAACATCCAGAATGGTGAAGGGCCCGACAGCAAGAACTGAGATCGTCTAAGTTGGAGGAGAGAAGACTTAGGGGAGACGTGAGCTCTCCTCAGGACTTTGAAGGACTGTCACATAAAAAAATTACATCCAAAGGGCAGGAGTATTTAGGCTTGACGTCAATACCAAGTCTCTGAAAAGGAGAGCTGTTCAAGGTGGGCTAGTCTGCCCAGTTAAGGAAAGGCCCAATGGCTAGTCCTTTGTCAGGTGTGCTACAGATAGGACTCTTATTCACCAAGGAGTCAGAGCAGACGACCCCTGAGGTGCCTTCCGACTCTGAGATTTGGGGAAATCTGGTTATTAGAAGGCAGAAGAGGTTGGTCAGTAATTGGATTCTGCTTAAGACCCTCTCCCAGACAATAGTTGTGGGTGGTTTCTGTTTGCACTGGGACTTTGACAGGAAACTGGCTATTGCCAATCAAAGGCAGCAGAGAAAAGGCAAGAAGCACCCCCCCCATCAACTGTGCCCACGGTGCAGAAAATGGGTATGGCAAACAGTCCTTTCACTAGGTGAGCTACTAACAAGGATGCCAGGAGACTCCAGAAAGCATGCAGAGCTGTAGGACGTCAGCTGGGTTTCTGTCACTGCTGAGAAGATATGAGGGCTGCCATCGGGGAGAATGGAATGTTCCTGGAAAGAATGGAAGAAATGCTTCTGAGAAAAGCTAAGAAAGAACAGAATTCAAAGAAGCTGCTGGGAGTCCTGAGCTAACCAGGAGGTAACAGGAGAGAAGAAAAGCTACAGGATGCTTAAGTCTCTCCCAGGGGAGAGAGGGGGGAGGAACTGGGCCCTTGAGCCTCAATGACATGGGGCCACAAGAGCTCAACCAGGCAGGGTCAGAGGGAGCAAAGACTAGGTGTGCTGGCTGCTAATGCTGCCAGGGGGTGCAAGAGAGGTGCAGTACTGAGGCAGCCAGATGCTCACCTCACACCAGCTGCCTACAAGAGCCTCTTTGGTTCTGGCCATCCCAATGGCAACTGGCCACTTCCAGCGATTCACACGGGTATCAGCAACTCACTAGCGGAAGGAGCTCAGGAGACATGGCTGGGGATTATGAGAATGAAGGTTTGCTTCTGCTTTCTCCATTGAGGAGAATGATCTCTGGACAGGAAAAGACAGAATAGGAACAGTGACTATAGATGTGAAACTCAAGGCCAGTGGGGATAGTCAAGCAGCTTAATGAATAAAAGTCACCCAGGCCAGACGAATCCAGCCATCCCCGGAGCTGTAATGGCCGAGCCTCGATCAGCTAGCTCTGGGAGATCACCCCAGAACTGGGACAAGGCAGGCAAGTCAATTCGCATTTATTAGGCATGTACTATGTGCCAAGCAGTGTGCCAAGTCAAAAGCTGGTCCTTGCTCTTGAGGAGCTCACAATATAATGGGGAGACAACACGCAAACTCCAGACAGAGACAACGCCATCTCAGAGGGAAGGCACTAAGGCGAAAGAGGACCGGGGAAGGCTTCTTGGAGAGAGACTTGAAGGAAGCCAGGAGGCGGAGATGAGGAAGGAGAGCATTCTAGGCCCGGGGGACAGCCTGGGAAATGCCTGGAGGTAGGAGATGGCACGGCTTGTGTGAGGACCAGCCAAGAGGCCTGGCACACTGGGTCCCAGAGCAGACGGGGGGGGGGGAGTCAGGTGTGAAAAGACGGCAAGGTAGGAAGGGGCCAGGTTATAAAGAGCTTCAAAAGCCAAATAGAGGATTTCACGTTTGGTTCTGGAGGAGACAGAGCCACTCGAGAGTGAGGAGATGAAGATACCTAAGTTGTGAGCCTAGGGGGCTGGCAGGCCCATGTGCACTCACCACAATAGGCAAGTTAGGAAGAAGAGAGAGCTTGAGGGAGGAAAGATAATGAGGTCAGCTTGGGACATCTGCATTAAAGATGTCTACGGGGTATACAGTCTGAGATGTCCGAAAGGCAGCTGTAAATGGGAGAGTGGAGCTCAGGAGAGAGGTGAGGCCTGGCCGAGGAGATCTGGGAATCATTGGCACAAGGATCCTTATTAAAACCTTGGGAGCTGAGGAGATCACCAAGGGAAGTAACAGAGAGAGGATAAAGAGAAGAAGGAGGGGAGGGGAGGGGGGAGGGAGGGCCCAGGACATAGCCCTGGGGGCCAGCCACAATTATCAGTTATGATGTGGTTGAAGATACAGCACAGAAAACAGAGAAAGAGTGGTCAGATTGGTAGGAGGAGAACCAGGAGTGAGAAGTGTCAGGGAAACCTACAGAGAAGAGAGGATGACAGAGGAGGTGATCTACAGTGGTTTCTACACCTGGCAAAGTTCTAGAACATACGTCCAAGGGGTGGGTAATGAAAATGGAGCAAGGGAAGCAGAGGTTGCAGTGAGTCAGAACGACTTCAGCAAGAACAGGTCGAGCCGAATGTGTTAGGGTCAGTGCTAGCTCCTGGTAATTGCCCACTGGTACGTCACACAGCTGCACGACACTGAGCCGAAGGACTGAACGTCCACTGCCCCATTTAGGGCACCTGAAGTAGACTTTTGAGTCTGAAGAGCTGAGGTAAGTCAGAAATTCTGGCCATGAACAGACTTAAGAGCTCAACTTTGCCCTCTGTTTTGCCATGCAGTCCCTTACGGGCCAATGGCTGCCTGGGCAAAGGAATTTTCTAGGAAAGGAAAATTTCACAGAGACCAGCTAAGACCATGACAGCAAGCCCCTACCTCCACATGCAGAGACACAGTGAATTTGCTCCCTGACTAATCACTGCCCTAGAACCCTTGGGAAGTGAGCAAACCTGCTTAAACATCCCTAGAACACAACAAAGATGGGAACTTTTCTGTATAGAACAGGGAAGCTGGGAAGCCATCTTGATTGCTGGGCCTCTCCCCTCCCCATAAGGTGATCTGACATCTAGGTCACCAGACAGATTTCAGGACTCCCCATCTCCAGCCCTCCTGAACTTTGGTCAACCATAAAGAACATGCTTCAGTAAATCTCCCGTGGACACTCAAGTTGTGCTGGTCCTCTTTTCCTTTCCTAGTGTGGATATGGACTG